GAAGGCAGGTTTGCAAAAGGCGGACAAGAATAAAAGATGCTACCTTTGCAAATATCATTGAGATGAAAGGGTACATTTGCCAACCAAATATTGGGCCGAATGGCTCATTTGGTTGGAGGACTGCATATTTCTTAATCAAACCATAAAAATAAGTCAAATTGTAATAAGTAATAACAGCATGACATGGAAGGACTAAGCATTGCTCCATCCAAACATGACATTAAGGCACGGTAATAAGTATACATTTTACTTATGAAAGGTATTTTATAGGTGGAAAGTGGCAAAGAATTATATCAATGTTTTGTTGATTGTGTTAGGTAAGACTTCTTTGTTAAATAACCTATCCTCTACAGTAAATTCAAAGTCTTCTTCTAAACCATATATGCTTCATTAATCTGCCAAGCTAAAAGTAAATACTAGTTTTTGTATTTGCTAATGTCAGTTAACAGAAGTAAAGCCTAAAAGAACCCACCAAAAAGATCAAAAAAGCTATTATATATGTTCATTCATTTCTACTAAGAAACTGAGTGCCTCCTATTTTTGCAAGGGGTGGATTTAGCTTCATCTGGGTTTACAGAAGCAAGACTTTCCGATGAATCTGAACCAGTACTGTTCTCACCTTGCGTTCCTTTGCTTGACCAGAGTTTCGTGAATATCTTCTTGGACTTGAGCAATCCCTTCATTTTACTAACAGCAGCCTTGTCTACCGTGTTATTAGTGTCACCACCATTTTTCTCACTTCCTCCCACTCTATTGCTCAATCTCAAGCCAACCAACTCGCTCTTAAGGGCCTTGAGCTCCTCAGCTGTTGCCATAGCATCCCAATCTTCCTCTGGATTGGTTGTTACTGACTTTGTGCTCCCATGAGATGCACCGGCTAGATCCTTGAAGCCCTTCGGTAAGTCCGGCGTGCTACTGCCTGATGAGGCTGCAACTCTTACCTGCTCAAAGAATAAAACTTGCACAACCACACGTAATGGGAGTCTCTCGTTTTGCACAGCATGCATACATGCATCTACTGACAGCTTCTTGCAGTCCATCAACCTGCATATCCTTTTTCTCTCACCCTTGCTGATCCCTGGGTGCACCTGTATTTTGGCAAGACAGATTTTAGAAAAATAATGGCACTCTCAGCATTCACTTGGAATAGTTTCATACAACAAAAACTTGGACACTTGAACTTGGCAATCAATAGAAACATGAGTTTAGCATTCTCATGCCAAATTCTGCTGTTCTCAAGATGTCATGATGAACAGCTTGTAATAAACCCCAAATTATGTCCTAACACTAAGTACTCACTATAAATTAGAAATTCTTCACTTAGAAAAGATTCTCACCTTAAGATATGTGTCAATGGCCCGATAAAGCCCATCGTGAGCAGGTCTGGAGATGCCAGATACCATCTCAGCAAGGTCAATAAACTTTGACAGGGGTAAGTTGGGATCCTTTGCAATTTCAGCGAGGTATGCATCTATAAGTTTGACCACCATCAGCTTGGAAGCATCAGACAAAATTCCTGGTCTTCTTATTTCCTGAACCTCACCAGCTTCTTTCGATTCAATTTCAGCATTCTGGTCTTGCATCAGAAATTCAGCCACTATTTTCTGTACCATTTCAACATCATACATCAAAGTTTCTCCTTCTGCGGTTCGTATCAGAAGATCATTTGCAGAAGCCTCCACCAGTTGTTGTCCTATTCTGCTTATAAGTTGTCCCTTGGTCATTTCTCCGGAGTCCAGGATAATGCCTGCTTTCAACAACTTTAGCAAGAAACTACAAGAGACACTACCTTTCTCAGTAGGCAACAGCCAGACAATTGTATCAACTATTGATCGATACTTTACTACATCTCCACAATGGACTGTACCCTTGCTTAAACCTGACAATCTTCTGTATGCATAAGTTTTTAAGGCTTCTCCAATCAGTTCATGGGAAAGTACACCTTTGGTTTTAATATTTACCACAACAAGCTTGTACAAATCAATATCAAGCTCACATATATCCTCAACCCACCAGTCCTTCGGCACTGGTCTACTTCTGGCACCATTTAAGTTTGGTTCGTTTCCATTTTCCTCTGGAAGCTTCTTCCTGTTATAGGTATAGGACCAGTCAACCCTGGAAATGTCAAGACAGGCCTTGCAAGCAATGGCATCAATGCAAAGGCCAACCACCTTGAGTTCCTCAGACAATGGTAACATAGACTTAGTAGTCTGAAGAACAATGATTGAGTCCTTCCAGCTGTGGAAGATGCTAGAGTTGAGGAAGACATCAATCTTGTAAATGAGGTTCCCTTTCTCAACAGTCTCATGCATCCCTAAGTACTCAGCCGCACATCGAGCAGCAACAACATTGTAAGCATTGAGAGTAACGGTCATGCCATAACAAAACTTAGCACATATCTCAAAGGCTGCAGAACCTCCAGGAAGGTCATAAATCTGAACTTCATCACTCTTATCTTCGTCTATAGTTGCAACCAACTCTTGTAAGTGGGAACATTTTGATAGAAGAGGAAACTGCATAACAGTTTATCTATCAGTATCATGACACAAAAAAAAAAAAAAAAGACTGGATCAGCTGCGCCAGTTTTGCCTAATTCCGAAGGATATGAATGCTATCAAATTTTGGTAGCATTTTGTATATTAGCAATTATATAACATCCTTTGAAAAGCAATGCATCAAGTATCTAGATGCTGCCAAAAGCAAACATTTTTTTGAACAGCATTTTTCAAGCATATCTTGATAAAGAATCACTTGATCTGAAGTTCTGAACAGATTGAATATGCAGAGTAAAATTACTAACCTTGTGTAGATAAAACTTTATCTCTCCTATAGTGACAATGAGGTCAGTTGCCAGCTCACTTGCAACATACCTGAAGCTTAAAAATGTTAGACCCCTTCATAAGTTGAACACAAAACTATTGCTCAATATGGGGATAAAGAATACCAGATATAATCAAGCCTTACCCCGTTAAACCTTTGGAAAAAAAAATATCATTCTACCCAATAATCAAGTTTTATGCTTCTAACATTACCACACAGTGAATAGGGAAAAAAAAATCCAAAGGCAACCAGATTTTGAGCTACAGCCACACCAGTTGTACCCAAGGAAGTTAGTGCGTAGCACAGCTGGATACCATATTGGCCCATATTTAAATATTTACTTGCTCTTTTTGAAAAACAAGGGGCAAACAACATGGTAATGTATAGATCAGGCAATAACATAAATGCTGATGATGTCGACATGGTTGCAAAGTTCTTTCCGTTGAGAATCACCAAATCCATTTTAATATGGAACTAGAAAAGATTTTAAGAAACTTTCATATTTCTAAACCATCCAAAGAGCATGTGTAGAATCAGTCAATCAGTCAGCAATAACAAGATGATTGGCTTGAATTTTGTCTACTTCCATACAAACTCCAGTCAAATCAATGTGCCTTGGGATTTGGAAAATCTAGTAACAATAACATAATATACTCTATCTTGATATCTTTACCCTGCTTTCTTAGAAACAGCAATCTAACTTCAATCACTTGGAAACAAAATATCAATCCATTTCAGCGAACAAATTTCCAGATGCTTATTTGACTAGACTACATTTGTTATAGCAGTTAAGGCAGTACAACTATGAATTAAATATGTTTCCCTTATTTCAAATAATCACAGTACTAGTAAACTTCTAGCCTAAACAAATTTTAACAAAATGAACTTTTGATTGAGATATTACATGGCATTACTTAATGGTGAGTACAGCTACAGATACCTAATAATGCTTCATTCTAATCTGGATAAACATTTGGTCACATATGTTCCCCAGTCTTATTATGGCTTTAGTTATCCACGTTGAACACAAATGCGACCATCCAGATTTAGATAAATACAACTTAAGGGACCCTTTTTTCTACAGTGTTAGTCAACTTTCTACACTTAAGATTAGAGAGGCAAAGACTAAACATGAAATGGGACCACGGCCAACTGATCATATGCAGAGAATCAAGACACATCAGAAAGAAGAAGGTCAAAATTGGAACTATCATTTTGTTTTCTTGATAACTAATAATCAATCAAAAGCCAAGACAAGATAGCATAAACCAAGTCCAGGAAAGGTAAATGCATGAAACACGAAAAGTAATCGTGAAAGATCAAAACAATAAAAGATTTGCAGGATTTCAAAGCAATAGAGTGGACAATCTAGAAGAAAATTTCTGATCCAACGGCTTTAAATAGCCATAACACTTGAAAGATTTTTCATTTCAGAGAAGAAAAGGATAAACTTGAAACACTTTCAACTGATTAGAGTATGTTTATAGTTGATCTTTTAGAAAGGACAAAATTTTCATACAGCTGAAAGGAAACCTTAGGTAGTTCAAGCATCAATAAAAGCAGTAACCAAAGGGTATACCCTCTTTAAATAAATAAATAAATAAAAAGAAAATCAATACAAAGAGGGAGGAAATCAACAGTAATGCCTATCAAAGGAATTTGAAATGCATCTAACACCACAGTGGCAATAGTAGTCACTAGCTACTGTTCTTCTTTGGGGAAAGGGAGATTCAAAAACATCTCTATAAGATGGGGACGTGCACCTTACAAGCTACAAACTAGGTGAGATGACTACCATTCAGTAAGAGAACAAAATAGAAAAAACAAATAAGGGTCTAAAACATCCCACCTAATGTTATTCTGCTCATTTTGAAAGGTATCCGGCTTCGATCCAAGTTTCATAAACTTCATCTTGGTAAATTAAAGATCTTCCTCTTCTCTGAACCTCAAGATTCTCTTCTCAGCTACTCAACTGACACCTCTCAAACCTTGACACTCAAGACCTCACATTCCTGACGGAAAATAAGATGGTTAGGAAAAAATAACCGGAAATGGAAAGGATTAACCCAGCTGTGGGACCAAATTTTTTAATGTAACCCAACTTTCTGGGATTCAAGAGACTAGAGAAGGATCCAAAAGAAGGGGAAGGATATATGCCACGAAGGGGATGACGGAACCGAATCTTACAACAATCGAGGCAGGGAGTCTAAGTAAGAAAGAAAGGAAGGCAAGATGGGGTTTGGGTAATTTTTTAAGAAAAGGATCTCTTGAATTACCAGGTAGCTAAGGAAGAGGTTGTTTCCTTGATCGGCAGCAAAGCCCACAGAGCCCGGGCACAACCAGTCAGCTTAGGAGACATAGCCAACAAGCCCTTTATACTAAATAATTCCCCAAATCAGAGACACTCACAAGCACAAATCTGACTCCACCCACACTCATCCACCATTTCTTTATCTTTCTGTATCTGATTGCTCGGTTTCCCTGTTTTATCTTTTTTAAAGCTTATAAAGATTCATATCACCAGGACCTCTTGCCGTTCTTTAAAACTTCGAGTCCCAAACTTGACATCTACTAAATAATATAGTAATTTTTTACGGTTGAATCAAGCCTGCAAGAAAAACAGCATCTTGGTATCAGTTGAAGAAACCACCGAAACGGTAGACAACAAGCATCTGCCTTTTTTTTTGGCAAACTATGGGAATAAATGAGAGAGATCACAAAAATAAAGCTACATAGTAATGAACAATCAAACATCTTCTACTAACAATAAAAAAATATATATAACTACAAAATTTAACTGGAATCTGAAAATCTCTGCCAGAATATATCACAGAAATCTTGTTGAACAATGGATGTCAAGATCATATTTTTATGGTATATGGTGTAAAAACCCAAAAACCCACATGAACTGGAAAATGCCCATCATCAGCTTGGGAACAAAGACAATCCCCAAAAGCCACTCTCCGAGTAAACCCCAACAAAACCCTAGACCCATATTATCGTGTATCAAATCTACAAAGCCATATAAAATTTACAAAAAGGACATCCCATTTCAAGCATGAACTATAACAAGCGTAGGACATCATAAATATCTCAAAGAAGAAGCAAACCCTACAACAAAAAAGGAAGAAATTTCAAAATCTTAAGGCACAACTTGTCAAGAAATCTACAGCAACATTGCTATGAAATTGTCAGAGACATTTCGTCGAACAGTTAGAAAACAAAAGAGTCCCATCCATGAAAATTGAATCATTTTACAGACCAAACCCAACAAAGCAACAAAATTTCCCAAAACCCACCAAAGCCAAAAGCTAAAGGATCATCCCAACAATTACCCATCAGTACATTAGCTGTTCATTGGTTGCAGAATCTCTCAAAAAACAAACCCAAATATAATCGACTCAGAATTTTCTCTTAACGAAAAAATGGTCAAGCTTTTACCAATTGTTTTACCTTTGGGTTTAGTACCAACACTCCACTACTGCTACTGCTTTCTCTCTAGCACAGAAATCAGAAATGTGCTTTTACTTTGTTACTTTGAGAATGAATACTTCTCTTTTATCCGAATTCAGAGAGAAAGTAAATTATATTTGAATCAAGTTTTGGGAGGAGGCTAGGGAATTAACGCACATAGACATAGGCACTGATCAGCTTGCTGGCTAAAACTGACACACAGCTTGCTTTCTTGCTGTTACTTGATTTTTATTGACTTGCTCTTTACTTGCGTCCTAATCAACCCTTTGCATTTATGACCATTATTTTTATTAATTTTTTTTAATTTGTATTCTTCAAATTTAAAAGAAAAATATATTTTTTATTTTAATACATAAGTAAAAATATATTTATAAAAATTAATATTAATATTAACATTAATATTAAGTAAATGAATATAATTAAATAATTAATAAATTAAAAATTAATTTTTATTTTTAATATAAATTTAATATAAAAAATACATTTATTATATTTCTACCTTATATCCTCAAAACACAAATTTAATAAACCATTTTTCTTTAGTTTAAATTGAACAATAAGTCTCCTTGTTCTTTAACCCAACTTTCTTTCTTTTCAGGTAAAGAGTAGTGAGAGAACATGAAAATTTGATATATACGTTATAAAAATTTTTAATAAAATAATAAAAAATTAATTATTTAACACTATAAATTATTTTTTAATATTTTAAATAACACATTTCATACCATGTAAAATTTGGCACCGTCAAATCTGTCCCATTTATCATTATTATTAGGTAAATCCGTTCACCCAGTTGCCTCACGTATTATGAGGCTCTAACACGTACTTGGCATGTCTATTTTATGACAAAGGGTAAATTAGTTTGATACTCAACCTTTTTTACATGAGACACTTTCATCCCTAATCTCTATTTTAAGACTTCATGACTTCAACCATTCTGACAGGACCTCTTGTGATGATGACTAAACAGAGCCTAAGCAGTTGAAGATTGAGTTTCTCTTTAAAACTAATTAGTTAATTTTCATATGTTAACTTTTAGCTAATATGATTAAAAGATGCATTACCAGATCTATGATTTGAGTTGAATTACAGCCTTCCCACAATTTGTAACTTGTTCATGAAACCGAAAACCTTGACCATGCAAATTGAAAACCCAGCAGAAAATCAACAAAAGAACATCATTGTTCATTATAAAATTGGTACTGGTACCTAAGAACAATTCATTTTCCAATCTGAACAGCTCCCCACAAAAGTGCTAGATTTCCTTTGCATTTATCAACACTTCACTCACACCACATTAAAGGCCTCCCCTTCACATGGTGCTGACTGTATAACATTGGAAAAATACTTCTAGTTATTCTGTGTCCCAAAATGCTCATTATTCCTTCTACTTTAAACCAAAATTTCAAACTTAGATAAGGGTTTTTCTTTTCTTTTTCTTTTTCTTTTTCTTTTTTCTTTTTTCTTTTTTTTGGTGTGTTTTAAAGAAGAAATGTTACCAAAAGTCACTGTGTGTGGGGGTGGTGGGGGATCTTTCAATGAGAAAATAGCCAAACGGCATACCATCACTAAATGTTTTTAAGGAGGCCCACATGCCTAAATTTTGATATTGATCTAAAAAGGGGTAATTAATACTCTTAGCTTATGGTCAAATGCTAGTTGAAAAAATGTCCCCTAGTCTCTTCACTTTGACCCATCACTAGCATTTTTGCTAATTGGTAGTTTTGTTTGGTATGCTTACCTACAGTTGCCCAACATTACTCTTTTTCATATCTCCTTTTATTTGTGAGTTATGCAAATGGAATGGCTGAAATTAACATTTTTTATATGAACAACTAGATATGTACAATATCTATCACTTACGAGTTGTTCTTCAATAATTAAATTAAAAAAATACTTTAGTTATACTAAAGTACCTAATAAATTACTATTGAACCATTAAGTCATCCTTTCAACTTAATGTAAGATACATTCTTTTCCCTTACATCAAATAGAATTTTCTCATAAAGCTAGTTACTAAGAGGATTTAGTTTTTCATTCCAAACTTATAAAAGATTGCCAATTCAGGATAAAATGTTATTGTTGCCTAATTTACTAATGGTAGAAATGAAATTTTTAACCTCATTGACAATTTTTGTTTGTCTAGATTGATAAATACTTGAAATTTTTAGTTCACATTCTAATTCGATACACTTTTTGATATTTATTCAGTTTAATTTTTAAAATATAATATAAATATAATTAATTTAACTAGTTTTTACATATTATATGTATGATTGTATTTTTATATTTTTATATTTATTTACTTTTAATTTCATATTTTTTAATAAACATGTTATACAATATGTTAAACTAAATAATGTAGTAATCAGTATTCTAAACATATTTTTGTTGTAAAAAAACATAAAATTAATAGACAAAAACTGTTGTAAGAGATAATCTACTATAAGAATGACAGGAGACCTTTTCAGCCAAACATTTTAAGATTTTGTGAACAAGTGATGAACTTGGCCAACAACACAGTGCCCATTTGGCCTAATTAATAACACAATAAACCCACAACCCCGAATAATTTTTTTGTAGTACTAACCTAGGCAAAGAAAATAGTAAATTAAACCAACTCTTACTTGGTTGTCTAACACAATGCGGATCCAAGCACATGATCACCAATATCCAAACCCTGTATGGCTCTCTGCGGCAGATCCATGTCAAGGACAAAAACCTCATCATGATTCTCCATTAGTCTAATTGGGTATCCAATGGCATGTGTCAGTGTAGAAGATTGAGGAAGAACCATAGATCTATATGGGTTTCTAATAAAGTTCAATTTTTAAAAAAATTGGAAGTAGAAAGGTAGAGAATTTGATCAATTTAGTAGGCGGTTGGACCACCACTACTAGGGAACATTTCCCTTGTTTTGGGTTTTTTTCTTACCAATTAGAATAGGAGATTCGATCTCAATGAGCAATATTAAGACTTGGGAAAGATACAAATGCACTTAGGAAATCATAGAATCTTAGACCTAATTATGGGAAAAGGGAGATTCAGGAAGAAAATGAAAAGATGTAGATATTTTGTGGAATATTAATTCAAAGTGGGGAGGGAAGCCTCCTTAGAGGAAAGAAGCACTAAACTTTTCAGCCCATTTGGCACTTGTTTGCTGATGAAGAGTGGAGGCCCAAACGGCTTAGGGAAGGGAATGGACTTTTTTCCCCTTTTGCTTTCGAGGAAAGTGGCACCAAACTTTCAATGGGGAGAGGATGATTAGAGCTCATTAACCAAACCGTGGAGAAATCCTAACACTTTGGCCATTGAGTTGATGAACCGAGACTGGGAACGTGAGTTAGGCCATGTTTTTCACGAAGCAAACTCATGTGCTTATAACATGGCTTTATAATTCTACCGTTTGTATAAGGAGATCCTTTACTTTGAAGAGCCTACAAGGAACAAATCTCAACAATGATCTTTAGGAGTTTACAAGCCAAGAGCTTCTTGATTTTTCAGTGCTTGAAGTATTGCCCATGTGCCAAACAAACAAATAAAAAGACAAATGAAGAATTGATAAACATCCCTATTATGGTGTGGTCCAAATAGCATGCAGTTTTAATCTACTTTTTTCACAGCACATGCTTGTACCTAAATATCAAAAAGTCTAGTTTTCTAAGTGATTAAGGAGATATTATCCATCAGTTCTATCACGACTATAAAACTAGAGATTTCATAAATTTTTTTTTTTTTATTAACTTTTTTAAAGGGCAGTTTCAAATACTCCCTACATTTTTATTTATCTGTTTAATTAACTAAATGACCCACATAAGGAGTATCTTTAATTTTTTTTCTTTCTAGTTTCTAACCCTAATAATTAACATTAATTATTTGCTCTGTCCCAATATGATTGTTTTGTACTAAACTTTTGTCTCTAATTGATGGTCTTTTTTACATTATTAAGGTACGTTAACTTCTTCTTTTCCATTTTAACCCTGTAGTTAAAGCTCTACTTCATTAACACAATATTTTCTTTCATTCTTCTCTCATCAATAATTAAGGGTAGAATTGAAAACTCCTAAGTAAAACAGTAGTTACTTCCCAAATAAAAATTCTTACTGGACTCGTTCTCCTTTTCTCAAAAATGTAACCTTGTTCAAAAAGAAAAAAAATTAAGGGTAGAATTGAAAAAACAGAATCAATTAATCACAACAATAATTGCATTTCATTATTATTGTGCATGTTTAAGAAAAAGATTAATACCTTGTGCACGTTTACTAAAAAAAAGACAGATAACATGAGACAGGGGAGTAGTGTATCTATATAATGTTTTCCAACAGACGAATTGACATGGATTAAGTATAATGTGATTACTAATTTATACTTTTTTTCCAATTCTAGTTTTAATGATATTGTTCAGAGAAGCATTAGAGAATATATTGTTAAAATGGTGTTTTGAACAAAGTACATAGTCAATAGTCAATGGTCATAGTTATCGAACATTACCAAAGACTCTCATTGGGACTAAGGCTCATTTGCGCATACTTTTCACATCTTTTTTTAATTTGTACATGGTACTTTATTTGAAAATATAAATTTATTATTAATTAATTAATTTTATTTTTATATACTTTTTTTCATTTTAATTAATATTTTATATATTTTTAAAATAATAAAAAAAATTTAAGAAAATACCTATGACAACATCATAACACGAAAAAACGAAGCATAAGAGAGCAACCTAATGGTATTTAGGAAAAAAAAATGGAGGAAGCAGGCGAGCAACTTACTTAAATAGACTTGAAAGTAATAAATGGAAAACAAGCAAATCGCTTTAATGGAAGAGCCGCGGTGGCAAGTGGCATTATGGCAACATGCCTTTGTGAATGACAAACAACAGGAGAACAAGAAACAGAATAGCACTCGCAATTGCAGTCTGCCAAATTAATTATAAGGTCAATTTGAGGAATAATTAGCTGCCTAAAACTTGGCCCATAGTGCACTATTATTTGGTCAATTTGGGAATAATTAGACCAAAGAAATCGGTTGATTAATTTTTGGGTCTACCTTAGGCTGCCGAATTAGAAGTCTATGCCACTCTCAACTGCATTGGGTAGACCATCAAACTTATTAAATTAAAGGCAAAATCCTACATTAAACCCTCGAACTAACCCTAGATTTTTGTTTAAGCCTCTAAACTTTTGTTAAAGCAAGTAAGCTCCTAAACTTAGTGATTTGGGCAATTTAACTTTCTTTTTTTACATCAAACTTAACGCTTATTTGTGTCTTATTTGCATGAACAAAATCAATACCCGTCATGTAAATAATGATATGTCAATACTTTATCCATGTAAATAAGGCACAAACGGGCATTAAGCTTATCTTAAATAAGAGAGTTAAATTGCTTAAATAGCCAAGTTTAGGGGGTTTATTTGCTTCCATAAAAGTTCAGGAGTTTAATAAAAAATTTAGAGTAAATTCAGGGACTTAACATAAGGTTTTGCCTAAATTAAATGAACTGAAAATGTGATAGAGTAAAGGTGCAAAAAAATGATATCAACTTTACAATTTTTTCTATTTAAAGGTGTTAACTTTGTCAATTTCTAAATAAAAATATCAACTTTTAATATTTTCTATTTAAGAATGTCAACTTTCAACTTTCAACTTTTTATATTTAAGGATTCTAACTATTAACATTTCGGTTAAAAAATTCATTTGCCATGTTAGCTTTATTATTCAATTAATTCTTAAATAGAAAAAATTTAAAGTTGATATTTTTAAATAGAAAAAGTTGAAAATTGACATCTTTAAATAGAAAATATTAAAAGTTGACATCCATAATTAAAAATTGATAAAATTAATATCCTTAAATAGAAAAAGTTGTAAAGTTGACATCCTTTTTGGTACCTTTACTCAAATGTGATTGATTAGGTGTACTCCCATGCCTAGACTTTCATCTTCTTTAAATATTCCATGTGCGAGGTGGCATATTGATGACGGACTAGGTTGCTGTTGGTGAGGGGTAACGGAGGTTGTAATTTCTTGCCCAACACAATATCTGCTAAACTACTAGGAAATTTCCTTTGGATTGTTTGGATAAATCAATTATCATATATGTAGTGTGTAAAGAATCTTAAAGAGGTTAACGTATACTTGATCAATGGGTTTGCTTTATTTCTGTTTGATCGATATTTTATTTTTTAGAGATAAAGTATAATGAGGTAATTCATCACGATCTTCTCAACTTCAATATGAATAGTATGTGCCAAATGAAACCTTGACCTGATAGTTATAGTGGAGGCATTAATATTTTGAGTGATTTAGATTGTTACCCTATTGTGTGCTTTTTTTCTTCTTTTTTTTTTAATTTTGGGTTATGTAATGTGAGACAATTTTTTATCGTCACTTGACTTATTCATCAACGTGTCATACAATTCAAACTCAAAATCTTTTATTTCTATTAAAAAAAAAATTACTACTAACTCACTTAAATCCTTAGCTACTATATGTGCGCAAGTTTAGTTCAACTTTATTGATTTTTATTGTTTGTCTGTAGGAGAATATGATGTGAATTGTAATTTTTATCCATTTAAAAATATGAATTTTTCAGAAATTTAAGTGAAAAGATTTAGTAAGACTAGAAACATTACTGTAAAATTTTAAGGAGAATGGTTCTTAATAAGGACAATGACCTAGACTTTTAGCTGAGAAATAATTGTTATTGATGGCTATTTAGCGTATACGCACTTAGTTTAAGTTTAGAAAATAAGATAGAAATGTCTTTGATTTTGATGTGTATAGCAGACAATGGAGTGAATCAAGAAATTAGAGATTTTTTTAGTACAAATTTAATTTTAATGTATTTGAATTTTAATAGGGCATACCAACACTTCTGAATAAAGAAAATGGTATGCTGATAACTTTAAATTATAGTCAATTTAAAAATCCAAAATATTCATTAATAATAATAATAATAATAATAATACTAATACTAATAATAATAATAACAAAATTTTGCTTGTAATTTTCCTCTTCTATACTTTTCTTCAAACAACACGTACAGAGCAATCTTTTTATTGAGTACACATTAGCCCTTTCCCTCTCCCTTGTTTTACCAGATAAAGCCAAGAATATTCTATGCCAATTTAGAGATGAACTATATGTTTTGGGCTCTTTTTTTAGTTTCTTTCATGTTATTTACGTGCAAAAGTGGGACATCCCAACTAAGCAATGTATATACCCTTTCCTTTTGAATTGAATTTTCCATAAAAGAAAAAAAAAAAAAGAAGGCTCCATTGTTTTTTTGGGCAAGAAAATATCAAAAGAAAATGACCCAATAGAACTGATATTTTGAAACCCATCTGGATTTTATTCTAATTCTAAGAATTCGAAGTTCTGATTTTTCTTAATTGAGGAAAGGGAAAATAAAATAAAACAAGGAAAAAAACAAATGGCTAACGTGGGATATGTTACATCTTGTTATCATGGTGACATGTGCATTAAAGGCACAAAACATGGGATGGTGGCTGTTTCCAGCCACCACCACCATTACAACCACCGCAACATGACCTGTTGTTATCTGGATAGACCGCCACCATGGGCACCTGCCCAACCTCCTGCCTGCTGTACTTCCCCCTGTTCACGCGCATAATACAAGACTTAATTTACTCCAAATAATTTTTAAAAAAAAAAACATTGACTTAACCCTCAAAAAATTCAAGACAATAAATTATCAATGATTCAAAAATCAACTTAAGTCTGTATCAAATTGTAATACCATGATCTAAATAAAGAGTTAAATCATTAATTTCAAATCTCGCCTTTACTCATCTAATAACTTAGAGTTTAATCTATGTAGGTCAAACAGCAAAAACTATACCTCTAAAAAAGCAATCATGAACGTAATATTCAGGGGAAAAAGATTATTAAAAAAAAATTAGAATTTGTCAATGTTAATCTTTTCTATAAAATGAAAATGAATGAATCAATGAATTGCCAGCAGAGTTGACTAGAATAGTAAAGAGCCGGCGTTCACACATAATGAACAAATAATTAATTCTTTGTACAGAACAACATTCATCGATCAAATCAACTGTGTAAATCCCAAAAGAACAAGAAAACATCACTCTTTTTTTTTTTTTGATTTAATTAATGTATTGACATTGAAGATCCCATATGCTCTCCCTTGTCGATCAAGAAACGGGGTTTCTTGGTCGGTAAGGGGCTCTCCACCTCCTGCTCGGCGTAAATCTGACTGAGTCTTCCTTCCTTGTCTTCGCCGCAGACTTCTGGTAAGGCGGGTAAGTTCAGGTCAAAGTAAAAGTCGCGGTGGATCTGGCTATGCGCAGCGGCGCCGCTGCCATCTGATAAGGTAACACCGCTGACGCTGACGCTGGCGCTCACAGTACTGTTATTCTGGTGGTGGCTGTTGTCTTTGTTTTCTTTGCTGTCCTTGCTGTTTGTGGTCCCACCTTCGTAGTGGCAGCGTTTGTGCCCTCCCAAGGCTTGACCCGTGGGGAAAGTCTTGTGGCAGATGGAGCACTCATGGAGCTTGCCGCCGGCAGTAACGGCGGTGGTGGAAGAATTATCAGCGGAGACTGCGGTGGCCGCAGCGGAATCAGAAGCCGGCTTGCTGCGATGGCTGGCCTTGTGTCCACCCAAGGCTTGATAAGAAGCAAAAGCCTTATCACACACGCTACACTTGTAAGAAAGCTTCAAAGCAGGCGGTTCCGGTGGCTGAGACGACGAAGAAGGCACATCATCCTCTTTATTAGAGCCGCCACGAGCTAGCATGATGAGACAGAGAGCAAGATACTCTTCCTCAGAGGCAGGAGCAGGAGAATCAGATCGAGGTCGTTTCGAGCGTTTCCCTTTCTTCCAGGATTCCATGTCTTGATCATGTTTGTTGGTGAAAGGCGCTGTTGTTGTGGGAGAATTCACAGCTTCAAGTGCCATGTTTTGAAACTCAAGAAATTAAACGAGTTTTTATGAGTGAGAATGGATTGAGAGAAAAAGTGAAAAGGAAGGAAACGAAAGGAGAGGGGGGTGAAAGGAAAGGGAAGGGAAGGGAAGAGTGAAATTGTTGGGAGTGAGTGAGGCGAGTGGGGGGAAGATTTATATTATATAGAGGAGGAGAGTTTGTGATGGGGAGACTGAAGTCGGTCAACTAAGCTTAACTATGGGGTTAAAACTGTGTAATTCGGGGTGAGAAGGGATGAGAGGACTGCTTCCAAGTCAAAACCCAGTTGGGGCACGACACATTTGGTCAAAAATTGTAATTTCTTGGAAAAGTAATATCATTATTTGTTACCAAAAAAGAAAAAAGAAAATATCATTATTACCCCAATCACGACTTGGATTTTGACATAATATCTTGAGATGTCTTTGGCATGTGAAAGGAGAAGGCATGCCAATATTGAATGCACATAGCCTTGTGTGGTTAAGAGGATTCACTAGTAAATCTTGAAATTTGAATTAAAATTATATTTTTTAAAAAATAAATATTGAGAGATCTAATATTAATATCTCTTTTGTCCCAATATATTAATAAATGTTTTTTGATTTAGAATTTATTTTATATTAATAGATGTTTTTTTTTTGAATTAGATAAAAATTTTATTCTCTATTTAACCTTATCATTATACTTTGATTTTAATTATTTATTCTCTTATTTAAAAAAATCTCTTTATCTTTATCTTTTTTTAAGGGCAATATAAAAAAAATATAAATTATACTTAAATCGTTAATCTAGAAATAAAATCAAAATACATCCATTATTTTAGAACAGAGGGAATAGTAAGTTCGGTTTAATTCATTTGACAGTTAAAAATAATTAATAATTATAATTATTAATTAATAAATTAATTAACATTTATTATATTTAATAGTTTAAAATCAATTTATAAACTGATATTTCTAAATATCTTAACCACCTATTCAAAGAAAAAAAAAAGACCATAAACTAAAAAAATCAATCGAACCAAAGTTACCAAACATCATTAGTCATTTAAATTCATCAATTTATCCAATGCTCTTAATATTAACTTTCTATTAGTCACAATATTTAAACTATGAGTAGAGGTCTACTTATAAACAAATTTTACATATTACACTTATATAAAATTTTAAATATTTATTTTTTATTTTTAATAATTAAGATTTATATCATAACTTTTTAATGAAAAAAATTATTATTATTAATAAATGTAAATAAATCTCAATTATTAAAAATAAAAAAATAAATTATTAAAATTTTATATATTTAATATCTATATAATAATATAAATTTTAAAAAATAATAATAAAATATAAAAATAAAATTAAAAGAAATTATGCATGTAACTTATAAATAATAAATTTTAAACTAAATACATAATGCATCCAACAACTTTTTTCTTTCTTACACTTTTTTTAATAAGTTTAAATTTCAAAAGATAAAAGAATTTAAATTAATATTATGTTGATGGAAGTACACATTTAAAACGAATTAACAGTAAGTCGGTCCAAAAGATTATGTACTCTTCCTCACATTCTTAAACAACGATAAGTATATACAACTTTACAATTTAATTCTTCTTAATTTTCTTTTTACTTTTCTATTAGTGCATTTCTAACCATAGTTTTTATTTATTATATAAATGATCTTTTAACTTCAAACTTTAAATCTAACATGATAAGAATCTTAAGTCTAAAGCATAGATGTCAAAAATATTAAAATAGATACAATGTCATCAGCTAGTATCCCTTTCTAACGAACCAAAGCTGACGATTAAGAAAATACAATTTCTTTGAAGTATTTTCATTTTCTTATTTAATTTATTATTTTTTAGTATATATTTTTCGTTTTTTATTGTTAATTATTTAACTGAATTTAATTTTTT